AAAATCACATAGTTGGTTATATCTATGCGACCGCATAGTGTAACCATCTATGCGGTCGCATAGATGGATACAGGGAAAAAAATTGAGCATTTCAAATGACCTATGCGACCGCATAGGTTTCTTCTATGCGGTCGCATAGAAGAAACTTCGGAAGATTTTCTGCAGTTTCCTTTTTCGACTCCAACTCCTTTCTTACCTAATTTGGACATGCTATATATACCCTAAAACACGTCCAGAACTAGGGTAGACGATTTTGGGAGAAGAGAGGCACACAATAACATCAAGATCCAAGAGTTTAGGCAAGAAGAAGGAAGATTTCATCAAGATTGAAGATTTCAAGAATAAATTCTAATAGGGTGATGTCTTCTCCTTTATTCAATCTTTGTAATTTTCTAAAAAAATGATAGGCTAGGGTTTTTGTTTGTTAGGAATTCGATGAACCTTTTGATGATTTAAATTTCCATTATTTCATTAATTCAACAATAGTTTCGATTAGATAAATGTTTGATTTATATGATTTGAATGCTTCCATAATTATTTGGCCAATTGTTATGTGATTATAGATGATTTGTTCTTTGCATTCGAAAGAAGGGGAATAAATTCGATAAAATATAAATTGACATAGGGTCCGATAGGGGATGGAAACTTACCTCTATGCATTATGCAATTCATGAAGATGTTCATAAAAAGTCATGCATTCTTGTACATTGCATCATCCATAGAAATATAGTCTGGTGGTGTGTAAGAGTAGATTCAATATATATCGAGAGAGTGTGTTGGATAATTTAGGAACATTGAATTGGCATTTTGTTCCATCGATTCGTTGAATTTGTGAAATTAGGGTTTTTAATAGTCAATTGGGGATTCAAGTTCTTAATTATTTTATTTCGATTCATTTCAATACATTAGTTCTAAAATTGCATATTTACATTTTAATTGCGTGTTTATTTCATTCGATTAGTGAAATTTCAAAATTAAGGTTTTTAATTTTGAAATTAGGGTTTTCTTTGCAATTAGAGTTTCAAATTGGGGGTTTCTTCCAATTTTAGGGCTTTTCACAGTTAAACCAAATTTTCATTCAATTAGATTCGGTTAAGGTCACATTGGTCTAATTAGAGTTAATTTAATCCTCGTGGGAACGATACTTGAACTCATAGTCCATTTTTACTACTTATTAACGAACCGTACACTTGCGGTGGGTTTTAAAATCGAAAAGAAATATTTTGCGAAAAATAATTCATCTATTGATACGAGTCTTCGTGAAATTATTATATAAAGAATTGTACATTTAATATTACAATTTCACTTTTTCCCTTTTTATTTCACATGAGTATACATCTTTAGTTGTCCAGACTATAAATTTCGAACTTCAGGTTTCTTTAGTAAATTCAATTTAACTGGATTACAAAATTTATTTGGATAATTATTTCTCCGATCGATATACTTTGACGAATTTATTTCTATTTCTCGCATTTATATATGATACAGTCCATCATGTACAAAATTGTTGTCGACGACGTTTTTGCTATTCTATTTTTTATTCCACAATGATATAACTTATTTAGATATCTCAATTTTCAACATATCATTACCTGAACCTCTTTTGGGATTTTATAATTTGTTATGTCTAAATACTCATCAAGTGTGTATGCCTCCTTTATAGTACAATCTTTACTAATTGTTCCATTTTTGTTTGGAGACTTTTGTATTAGAATCGAATATCATCACGCTTCAAACGTACCATCAAATATCATATTAACTAATTATCCTCTAGGACGTCAATTCAAGTTGGAGCATTTAAAGCTAATGTATGAGATATCATTGATCCATTTGATTAGTAAATGCATCTATAAGTTATCTTTCGAACTTCTGGTTCGAATGATATTTTGCAAGGATTTAGATAATAATGCATTTATATATTATTTTCAACTTCTTAATTCCTCCTCTAATGCTGGGAGAATTGTCTGACTAAATTGACAATTATATTTTCAGCGTTATAAAATATTATCCACTTGGGATAAGGCTTAAACTATTCATTTATTCTCAATATTCTTTACTTTTAATTTTGGTACAAGTTGGTGGATTAATTGCACTATTAAATAATTTGATGAAGAAATTTGGCTCTAACTATAGGCCAATTATAATGGGGAGAAGTATGATGTTGGCATGATGCGTAATAGCATTTAGGATTGGACAAAGCTCCAGAACCGAACTGACCTGAACATAATTGAACCGAACATTTCGTATTAAGTTAGATATTAGAACGGATATCTGAATCGAGAATTGATGAATTTGGTTTAGTTCTAGATCAACAAAATCAAATCTCCTTCATTTTTTAAATTTATTTATTTTAAATAATTCGAATTATTTTATTTTTTTAAATAAATTTGCTAACTTGTTAATTTAGCTCAAATCCAAAAATATGTTTTTCTATTTCTAATTCTTAGTCCAAACCCAACTTAATTGAATTGATCTAAGTTTTTCCCAAATTCGTTATTCTACTGTAGTGCCTTTTCTACTATTTTGAAGAAATCGAATTGAAGCTTGATGATGCATTTTTTTAATTATTGTGAGCTTGTTATCTTTCTGTTTTTATGATTTTAACAATCAAATTTATGAAGAGCTCATCAAAGAGAGACTCAAACAATACATAAAATTGGATTACATTATTTTGTAAGAGCTAAGATTGAATATATCATTAATCGAATTAATGTAGCTTTATAAATATTTAAAAACTTAATTATAGTGCGGAATCCAAGAATCGAACCGAACTGAACTCGAACGGTTCCATAATTAAATTTAAACCTGACGATTTTACTTACTAAATTCCTGAAAATTTAAGACTAGCCCTGATAGCATTCCCCAAATAGAAATGAGAAGTATTTTGTTCTCAACTAAATTAATTGGGAGGCGTTTAACAAACAATAGTATTAAAATCATTTATTGATATCTCAATCAACACTCATTAAAAAGTTGAGATTGAGGATCACTAACATTAAGAAAACACACCGTCTTGATTTTATAATCAGAAAATTATTTGAGCGATAATTTTGCAAATTTCAGGTTACGAACACCATGCAATCATATAGTATTTGTATCAAATCTATTAAATGCAAATAATATTTAGATGATCAACATGGTGGCTAATGGGGCCTCATATATCACCCTAATTAATTTTTAGAAATATAGGGAATCCAATCCTAGTGATGTTTAATGATTAATTATTGATAAAGAGAACAGACAATATAAAGAAATTCATTGGATTAAAGAATTTTTTAGTTTTTAATTGAATATCCATTTAAAATTTTTAATTTCGCATAATTATTGATTTAGTAATGATCCAACTAGCCATGTCAAATAATAAAATCAAATTAAACTTCCAATTCAGTATAAGATACAATTCAATTATTTAATTTTGAATAATAAGATTGAACATTGTATACTCGTCGAATATTCAATCAAAAAGACAAATTAATCAATGTCAACATGAGATAAGTTATGTGTTTTTCTTTAGCGATAAACACGAACTCAAAATGATATATTTTTCAAAGCATTTGCTAATTTGAAAGCACATTGTATTTTATCGTTACTTATTCAAGACCGACATATTAATATTCTTTTGGAATATTAAAATTTTAATGTCCTACTCTTCAGGAGCAATAGCATATTGTTATTTAAAATAAAAAAATTTTAAAAATTACTCTTTTGGAGCAAAAGTGTAATTTGATTTAGATAAATTATTTAATAATGTTGTGCTATTTCAGGAACACTAACAAATTATTATTTAGAAACATTAACTCTTCTAGAGTATGTTTTCTGGCAGAATATCATATTTGCAGAATTATGCTTCTTAAGGAACAACAACATTATATATTATCAATTTAAAATTTATACAAGAAGATCTACAAATATTTAATCACATTAAAAAATATTAATTAATATGGATTTATATATAAAAATTATTTACAAAACATGCATTAAGAGAAAGAATCTCCATATATAGAAGTTAACAAAATTGACTAAATCTTTTATTGGGTAAATCTTTTACTAACACACAAAAGTTTCTAAACATACACGTGAATTGCACATATACAAAAATTAAAGGTAGAACTAATGTGTGAAAAATTCAAAAGATAGAATTAATACGTGAATAATATGGGCTAAATTGATTGTGTATTAATCAAAATGCATGAACTAATCTGTGCACAGATTACACATACGAACCTAAGTTAGAATTAATATGTATATCAACGAAAATTAAAGAAGAAAAAACATCATCATTATGATGCGTATGTACATCAAAAGAATTCACTTGCCACCAAATTAATTTTGGTACACATGAAAAATAATTATACTTATAAAAATTATTACTTTCTAACTAATTTACTTTATTTTGAGAGAATCGTGTTATAACGTGTTATAGAAAGAGAGAAAAAATAATAGATTTGCATATATTTTATGAAGAATCAAAGCCCCATTAAAGAAAGAATATAATAATAATAATTTCTAGGATCGCACGTATATAATTGTTATTCACTAATAAATTTATTATTTTCAACAATGATGCAATAACTATAAGTTTCTATGGTTTTTTTTTTTTTTCTTTACACGACTAGAAATGTTGTAAAAAGATTTGTCACTTGGAATCCCATCAGACCACCACGACTAAGAAAAATGATAAATAGAAAAGAGCGTCATTTTGCTCACTCATCAGTCTCGATGAGGCAACCTCTCTCTCTCGAAGTTGCACATAATTCTTCGATATTTCCATTCCATTTTTCGAATACACATATTTTCAAGTGTACACACAGTGAAATTAATTTTACTTGAACTTGCAATCAGCGATTTTTGGTTTCTCGGTAAGTCACTCCTTGATCCCTTTTTTTTTTTCTTTTTCTTTTTTGAAATTTTATGGTGTGATTTGTTATTTCCTGATTTTCTTTTAATGAAATTTCATGCCCTCTTGTGCAGCTTTTATGGGGATCGATCAGTGATTGAGTCCCGGTTTTGCCACTGCTCTCGTGTTTGTATTACACTTTTCTTTACTTTTTGAGCTTTAGTTTGTCTTTACAATGGTTAGGAATTTCAATTTGGCATATATTAGTGCTTGGCCCCTCTGATGCTCGGACTCTTCGAAATAGTAGAAGTACCCGTGTCGGACACGATACGACATGGGCATGGGATATGTGTCGAATCTTTCAAGTTTCAACCGGACACTTCGCCGTTTTTACTTCTTCTTTTCCCCCCTTTTTCCCTTCCCATTTTGCTCTCTCTAAATTTTGTGCCGCCCCCGAGAGGGTAGAGAAGGGCAACGGCGTTAAGTTTTCCTTTTCTTCTTCTTTATTTTTTCTTTTCCTTTTGTTCATTTTTTTCTTTCTTTCCCTCTCTATATCGGTGGTTTAAGGTCTTGTTTGTATAAAATAAAAATGAGTGCTATATGGTGCTACTTATTGCTCCATTAACTCCAAATTACAATCAAGTCTCTCATTGTCTAATTTATATGATATTTAGTAATTAACTTCCTATAATTGAAAACTAAATCTCAATATTTTATTTTATTTTATTTTATTCGTTTTAACCCCTTATTCAGTAATCATTTCCTTCTTTGTGAACAATTGACTTTGGTATATTCAAAATGACAAATTGGGTTAGTAAAAAAAGTGAATCTTGAAAGACGTACCAACGTATCCGTATCCGAAATTTGGACTCTTTTCAGCGATGTCCCCGTATCCTTTAGTTTAAAAAATAAAAGATCCGATACTCTTAGATAGATACCCGTACCAGAGTCTGAGTATCATAGCTTGGACCTACTATATAAATGTCAAAGAATATACGTCCGTGTATGTCTGCCACACTGATCGCCGTCTTTTTGAGCCCTGATTTGTCTTTAATATGGTTATTGTTAAAGTAATAAGTTAATTAGGTTAAGGGTAGTTTAGTCTTATTGTGTTTCCTTAGTTTTGCACTATATAAACCATTGTAATCTTACATTATGCAACCAAGTTTGGAGGCTGCTATCAATCGGTTTTCTCTCTTTCTCCTCCATTCTTCATCTTTGGTTTGTTGTTTTCTACATGGTATCAGAGCGGGTTTGATTTTGGGTTAAACTTGCAAGGTATCATTTTCCGGCCAATTTTTTTTTGTTTTACTTTGTTGCATTTTTTTTGGATTCAAGTTAGAGAAAAAATCAATCTTGAAAGTACGATAGTTTTCTTCTGGTGTTATTCACATTGAAATATAGGGTTTTTGTCATGGCAACGGAGAGCTTTTCTTTACCGGACTCGAAGGTTCAGAAGATTTTAGAGAAGCCAATGGAGGAGAAAAGGCAGAAGTTTAAGGTAAAGATGATGCTTCCTTTCAACGTGTATTGCGAACATTGTGGTTTTTGCATGGAAAAGGGCAACAGATTTGTAGCAGTGAAGGAAGAGGCAGGATGGGAAACATTATTTGAGATAATACCCATTTGGAGGTTCAAATTCAACTGTAATTCATGTTCCGCTCCTTTTGCGATCAAGGCAGATCCTGACCGATATGACTACATTGTCGAGTTTGGTGCAACCTTGGTTCCTAAAAACGTTAAGCCTTAGACAATCTGGTTTCGCTATCTATGGATCACTATATATTTTAGGGTTTTTTAATTTTCATTCTAAGGTTGTTACTGCACTTTTTTTCTTTTGGGCTAAAATTTAGACTATTGATGATTTATTCTTTTGGGCTACTGATTGGGCTGCAGTATTTTATATTTTTGGGCGGCTTCATTTAGAATTTTGAAAGCATAGTGAATGGGCTGAATTTTGAGTTAAATTTGTTTGGACAGCAATTTGGTTTCTGCGATTGGTTTGGGCTACTTTTGGCGTATTAGACAGCTTATTGGGTCGGTTAGTTAATGTTGGACCTAGTTTGGATTGGAAATTTGTTTTGGTGTTGATCTAGTGTATCTGGAGTTTAGCATTTGTCGAGCTTGAATTTGAAATTTGTGCCTAGTTCATGGGATTGAAAATTTCGTTTGATGCTCGGTTCACGGGATTTGGAAATTTCATTTGTTTGCTCAGATTATGGGATTAGAAATTTCGTTTGTCCAGTCTATCTGGAGTTTGGAATTTGGCATAGTCAATTCTTGGAATTGATATGTCAAGTTCACTTGGAATTTGAAATTTGCATCCGTTTGGTTTAGCTGAGATTGTGTGGTTTCGTTGGTTATCTGCAGTTCAGCATCATTTTCCTACCTTTCGTTGCTCTCCGTCGTTGCAGCTTGTAGACTTTGCCACGAAGTCAAATTCGATTTATCATTTATGCTTTTTGTTGGTCAAACTCTCGTTGCTCCTTGTCGTAGTATCGTGAGTTTGAGGGGGGATGTTAAAGTAATAAGTTAATTAGGTTAAGGGTAGTATAGTCTTATTATGTTTTCTTAGTTTTACACTATATAAACTATTGTAATCTTACATTATGCAACCAAGTTTGGAGGTTGCTATCAATCGGTTTTCTCTCTTTCTCCTCCATTCTTCATCTTTGGTTTGTTGTTTTCTACAGTTATCTCTTTCGATTTCGCATTTATGAATGCTTGCATCTATTAAATAAATGTCTGAATATGCGTCCGTTTATTTGCCTTCTTTTGTTTGACCCTCTAGCACAATTTAATAAGAATAATTTTGACCTTTGAGCTTAGTTCTGCTTTTTTCTGTAGCTGTCCATAATTTTTCTTTACTATTGGCTTGATGAAATTTTGGTTATTGATTACAGATAACAGTGTCATGTCAAACTTCGGATTATCCAGTGATAATCGTAATAATCTGTCATCAAGAATTCGTTCTGTACCTGAGTTCAAGCCCAGGAAAGTCTCTGCAGTTCGGGCTTTCCCACCTGGGTGTGGCCTCAATGCTAAGCCAGTGGATTTGAAGTTGGACAGTGTTAAGCTGGGAACATCCTCTGGGCATAAGGATAAATTCCTTTGTAGAAGCGTTTGCTACGTGTGACTTTCCTCCATTATGCAGTCCAAATGCTCCTCAACCTACCCAAGAAGAACAACAGATGATTAATCGTGGAAAAGGTTTTGTGGATGACAGTACAAAGATTGAAGTGGAAACTGATGCAATTCAGACACTAAGGAAAAATCTGGAAAGAGGGGCATTGATGGACACGCAGATCATATCTCAAACTGAATCTGTGGATGGAGTTGAAAAGGTTGAAGTCAGAACAGAAGCAGTGGAAAGACTTGAAACAATTAGAGGAACAATCGGAGAAGATGTGATGAAGCTGCCTTTATCGTGGTGACACAAAGCTGTTGCCAAAAGAAGTAAAATTGAGAGAAATATTTCAGGGTGGGCATCCATGAAGAAGAAAGCAATTCCTGTTCCTAGTAGAAATCCGGGTGCATTGATCCTAAGGGATTGAACAAGTTACGGTGCCCATGATGAAAATCTACCCTCAAATTCTCGTTCCAGCAATGCACCACATGATTTTGATGTTACCATGCCTCCCAAACATTCCAGTCATGATGATGCCCATCATAGAGTGATAGAGACTCTTCGATTGTTTTCTTCTATTTGCAGAAAGCTCCCACAAAATGAGGAAAAGTCTGAGAATCAACCCAGGAGGATTGATCTTCATGCAGCGAAGATTATCAAAGAAGAAAAAAAGGAAGTTAACATAGGCAAGCAACTTTTGGGAGAAGTGCCTGGAATTGAAGTGGGGGATTGCTATTGTTGGCATTCACCGCCTTTACCAGACTGGTATAGATTCAATGAAGCACAACGGAATATCGGTTGCAAATAGTGTTGTCGATGCTGGTGTGTGTGCTGGTGATAAGCATAACGCTGATACGTTGTTATACTCTAGACATGGGGGAAACATCGTTGGGAAGAATAAGCAACCTGAAGATCAGAAGCTCGAGAGAGGAAATTTAGCTTTAAAGAATAGTATATCAACAGAGAGTCCCGTTCATGTTGTCCGAGGATTGAAAGAAACAAATTCTTGAGGTAAGCTAGTCACAACCTATGTTTATGATGGCTTATACACTGTGGACAGGTATTGGCAAGAAACTGGACCTCATCGGAAGCTGGTTTTCATGTTTGAGTTGAGTCGAATTCCCGATCAACCTATGCTTGGAAAGAAATCAAAGATACAAGGGGGTATAATTTATATTTTCGGGGTGTTCGTATAAGCTCTGTAGGAATATCTCATTCCTTTTCAAATGTAGAACTTAGGGCCTGTTTGATTGGTTCGAATTCCATTTTTCATGGAATTCGAATTCCACATTTTTCCAGTTTTGTGTGTTTTATTTGTTTTATTTTCCATGGAATTCTATTTTCTTGGTTGTATTGGAAATTAGTACTTTCTTGGTTTTCCAACCACTGATCACTTTTTTTTTCCGGGGGGGGGGGTTGCAATTAAAACAAATTTTAAGAATTATTGTAAAAAAAAATTTCATTTTCATGTAAAATAAAGTCAAATGAACACCAAAAGATAGATGATTTTCCTTTTTCTTTTTCTTTTTCCCCCTTTTGGCAATGGAAATAAATTTTATCTCAAATACCAGTAAATTTGACCTCTTTAATTGACAATTTTCGTGTAAATCAAAACCAAAAGAACCACAAAAAAACATTTTTATTTCAACATTTTTCACGTAAAAAATTATATCAATCACATACAAAAATTAACAATTCCAAGGAAAACAATTTTTAGGTAATTCAATTTTCTAAAATTCATTTTCTTTTCATTCAAATTTCATCTTTGCAATCAAACGGACCCTTATTATAAAAAGGAGATTGAGAAATAGTAATATACTTGGTGATTATGGGATGTCTTGGTGGAGTGCCTTCCTTCGCTGCTGTGCAGGTTTGCCTGGTGGGTGTGAAGCATACAAGTCCTTTCATGGCCAGTTAACCTCACTTTGGTGTGTCAGGTTAAGATTGACGTACCAAATATTTCATGTGGTATGACGACTTATTTCACGGTTGTATAGGCCAATTCAATTTCGGCATGTCCAGTGTGGTGTTAAAAAAGTATTTGGCTCGTTTCTAAGTGGCTTTATCGAGATCTGAAGCAAATCGTGCAAAGACTTCTAATTCTGACACGACTTCTTTTGTGGGCCCTACGCAGATATAATTTCATCTATTAAACTTTTTAATACAACCACCAGAGTTTTAAAAATTAAATTTCACTGTATTATCTTCTGGATTTCTCTCTATTATCTGAAATTTGAACTGTAATTGAATTCAATATAGGGAGAGTTTTATCCAACAACGCATGCCAAAATGTCTAGGACAAGTGTGTTCAGCTACATTGCTTTTTTGTTGTTCTTCGAATTTATTTCCTTTTCAGCATCAATGATTCCATCTAGCTCCTCTTCTATTTCATTAATTAATTGATTTATTTTTCCTATTTGGGATAGAAGGAAAATTAAATGAATATTTGATGTTTGGAGAGTAGGCATCGGAATTCACTGAAAACAGTGTTCTTGACATAGAAGCTTTCTCACGTCTTTTTCAATTTTAATAGGGATAGTAATGGGATAGGATGCGAGTCTCCATCTCTGTCCAGTCGGAATTTTCAAGATGTGGGGTGCAAGATTAAAATATTCTCATTTACCGTTCTTTTAATTAATTATTTATTTATTTTTAAATAGGTTTTAAACTGAAAGAAATTTAAAAAAATATCCGAGACGGATTGGGAAATTCAGTGTTGGGCCACATTCAACGATTTCCATCCCGAAAAGTGCCACGTTAATAGAAGAATTCTAACAGATTGTTTGATAGAAGAGTGTGTATCATTTTGTGATTGGATGAAAAGTATGGCTGTGTTTTAACCGTTATCAATATTGAATCCAAAGATAATCAAATCATGTCATAATATTTTTGTATTAATGTGATCACAAAATTCTCCCAATTATAACAATTTCCCTGGATATCCAAAAATGACCCAAAAAAATTTACATTGAAACCCTAAAAATATCAATAATATACCAGAACATAACTAAAGGAAATCCCAATAGTAAAATTCACTTTTGAACTCGAGAATCAAATTATTTATTATGAGCATTAAGAGTTAATAACGAGAATAACTTAAACTTTTCAAATATCGATGGACACGTTCGTCATCTCAATACCAACGATAGATGTAAACAAGAGGCTTATGATTCTTCCAAAAAAAATATGTTCTCATTAGGAGACCCCATTTTTTGGGCGGCATCATATTCCTCAAACTTGTTTTTGCTTGACAGTATTTTTCAATTTAATGTTTTCATCAAACTTTAATTTGAATAAAGGAACCGCCCAAACTATCAGAGATAACACCTGTACAATAAACAGGCCAGACCATATTGAGCCAGCCCAACCCATCTTGCCCCACTAACCTCACACTCCTAGCCCTGTTTGGTGTGGATTAAAATTAAATTTAAGCAGATTTTAATAAAAGTTATTGAAATGTACTATTGAAAAGTTGCGGATAACATAAAAATTATTTTAACAAATGAAATGTTTCTTGTACATTAATATTTACATATTCTTTTACAAATTGATGAGGTGATGATAAATTGAATTAAGCTTCTGTTGGATGGTCATTATTGAGAAAAATGATATTTTGAATATTGATTTTTTAAAGAATATGTAGTTAAAAAAATGAGATTGTGTGTGAAATATTTTATTATGTGAATGTATGATTGAAAATTTTTAAAAAAAATATTTTTAGAGGAAGATAATGTTGATTATTTTTTAATAAATACTAATGTACATGTAGTATAACGATAGCAATTCGAACCGTCAAAATCGAAAAATCACAGTTAATCGAACCAAATGGGGTGAAAAAATCAAATCGATAGTGCACTGTGACGGATACGGTATTTGATTTTAGTGACCCGGTTTGAGGTGGGGCAAGTATGGTATTTGCACCGTTGCCCTACCCCGAACCAATTATCCGTATAAAAAAGGGGCAATTAGATTTTTCATTATTCTTTCTATTATAATTTATTTAGCCCAAAATTTATGACCCATTACTGACTCATTAAGTAATCTAACCCTGTTACCACTTACCCACTTAGTATTTACCCTATTACAAAGAAATTTTGAATCAAATTCAATAAGACAGTAGCCAACAGCTGTCTTCACTCGAGCCCCTACAATGCATTCCCAAAAAATTTTTCTTCTCCACATCGTATTCTTTTTTACTCACCATCCCTAAATAGGAGGGTATTTTTCTTCATTTTCTCATTTGTTTATTGTTGTTGCTGTAATCTATATATTTTTTAGTTTTTGTTGTGTTTGAGTATTTAGTAAAATGTGATTTTTTCTTCTCCACATAAAAGATGAATTTAATGAACTTAGTCTGCCTAGAGATATTAAGTTTTATTGTTGGAAGAACACGGTAATATTAAAAATGAAGATTGAATATGAATTGAAGTTGGAGCTTTTAAGTTACTAAGTAGGAATCAAGTTCAATGTACAAGGATCAAGAGACAATGATATTGTTTAGTATTTTATTATGTTGATAATATTGTTTGCTAAATTCGGATTTTGCATTTGAGAATTGAGATATTGTTAGCATTTTCATTTATGTTATTGTTTGCTATATTGGCTTAGCATTCTGTTTTTGTTTTCACTGATTTTTTTCATATATATATATTTTTAATTTTAACGGATGAACCTATAAAAAATAATTTATTTTCGTGCTTATTAACTCTCCAAATCAAGCTGAACTGAAATACAAATCAAACTAAAACGACTTACGTGATTATGGTACGATTATGATATGACAAAAAAATTGATGGTTTGATGATGATTTTGGCCGAATCCACCTCGACCTCGAACCAAATCGAATCAACCGTACCGTTGTCTTTCCTAGCCCTTGTTTGAGCCCCATATTTTGGGATAGAATGAATTTTTGAATAGTATATTAATGGAAAATGTATGATTAAAAAATAAGAAAAAATTTTGAATTTACATGTAATATTATTTTATTAAAGAATACATGATTGAAATGATCTCAAAAAACTATTAAAAAATACATTTTTTTAAAAAGAATGGAACTAAGGACCTAATGTAGTAGCGCGTTTTAGCCCCTGTTTGATTCCCATTACGTAGGAAAATTAATGAGGGAAATAGTGCTTTTTTGAAAAATAAGTGGTTGAAAAAGAATGAAAAGTTTTTGATTTACGTATAATATTATTTTATGAAAAATTATGTGGTTAAAAATAAAAGAGAGAAAAAGAAAATATAATAGAATTTAATGTAATGGGGATCAAACAGGAGCTTAAGAAATGGGGGACAAGAGCTATTACCTTCGCGCCACGTTTAACGAACCTGGGAATCCCCAAACCTTGTAGGGCAAAAAGGTAAATTGAAGGGAGAGCTCCATTTTCTTCGTTCTTTGCACAGACAAGTCTCTCGCGAACAAGTTATTGAACCGTTGCACAGAAATCGCCCACGATTTAATCCCATATATACACGAACATACACCTTTATGTATCTAGTCCTTGTGTGTCAATATATATTGGATTTGAACATGCAACCATCGATTTTGATTTCTCGGTGACGTTTCTTGTAAATGAATCTAATCCGTGACTTTACGTTTTTCAAGATTTAATTTTTGGAATTATTGTTATTTATCCATTAATTTTAGGTAAATCAATTTATTGGAGTTTTATTTTTCTGTTAGTGCAGTTTTCCATGGTGACTGACCAGTGATATACATTTCAACTTTCCCAGATCAGTATTGACTTCAATCGCAACAGGTTAGATGTATGTGGTGGATTAGTTTGTATATATTTGTGATTGCATGTTTAAATTCAGATGTATATATTGTGTTTTCCGGTTTTCGTTGCTGAATTAAATATTTTCTACCGTGGGTGACTGTGTGATTTGTGTGAGGTAATTATATGTATGCATTTAATTTGACGATTTATGCAATTTTTTAAGAGCTTTTTTCTTCTTTTTCAGCCTTAATTTGTATTTTATTATGGTTAGCAATTTCTCTATTTTTATGCTTGCATCATTTGAAACTTTAGGACACTTGAAATAGAATTTTGTTTATTTTGAGTTTAATTTGCCTTTCCTTTTCATAGTCAATAATTTTGCTTCACCATTGGGTTGGTGGAATTGATTTCAGATAATGGTGTCATTGTCGAACGGTGGATCATCCTGTGAGAACCCAAACAAGCGACCAATGCAAAATAGTAATGTGCCCAAGTACAAGCCCAGGAAAGTCTCTGCAGTTCGGGATTTTCCATCTGGGTGTGGCCCAAATGCTATGCCAGGAGATGTGAAGCTCAGAGAAGAAAATAGCAATGGTGTTAAGAATTCTGAATTGGCTTATATGATGGGGGCAAATGAAGTTGAAAATTCTGTAATGCCCAACATTGTGGAGGCAAGTGGGGTTAGGGATGCTGAAATCTCTCAAGTTATGGTACCCGATGCGGTCAATAATTCTGAAATAATGAATGTTGTGGTCCCTCGTGGTGTCAAAATCCCTGAGACTGAGATTGAGGGTTGTCAAGACATAGTTGTAAATAATCCTGTTGAAATAGAAATGACAGAATCAACAGATGTGCTGGTGGGAAAAGTGGTGACCACAGCCACAGATGATTTATCAAATTGGGTTGAAGAACTGATGATGGGTACCAGAACCGTAGGGGTTGAATTGCAGAATGACTTAAAAAGTAATTCAATGAAGGAAGTTGACCAGGCTGGGGGTCAGAAGACTATTCTGGAGGGGTTAAATGGGACGGAAGGTTTGGCTTTGGCTAAGAATACAGCTTCAGAGGAAGCAAAACCTGGCCTGGATATTGGTGCTTCAATTGACAGAATGGATTCGCTTGGTGGTTCTCAGTTCTCATCGTCACCCAAGGGATCAATTGCTGAGGGCAGCGTTAAGATAGGAACTTCCTTTAGGCGTGAGGATAAATTCCGTCGTAGAAAAGTGTCTGCTGTTCGTGACTTTCCTCCTCTCTGCGGTAGAAATGCTCCTCGACCAATTCAAGAAGGAAGGCAGACGGTTGCTTGTGGAAAAGCTTGTCTTGATGCCATTGAAAATACTAAAACAGAAACGGATGTGACTCAGAAGTTGAGGAATAATCTGGACAGAGAGGCATTGAGGGAGGTGCCAATGATCTCTGGAACCAAGTGTTTGGAAAGAGTTGAAAAGATTGAAGTAAATTCAGAATCAATTGGAACAATGAGAGATATTGCAGGAGGAGGGTCATCAGGAGAGATAGCGACAGGTGTTGCCAAAATCGATGCTTTTCACAATGTGGCAGGGAACACTTTAAAAAGTGGGCTAACGAGAAAACCAAGTGATGACAGTTTTGAAGAATTGGGAATAGGTGTACAGGATGGTTATTTCAAGGAAACAAAACGAAGAGGAGTCCCGTCAGGTTCAAGGACCTTGTCCAAACCAGTTCTTGATTATGCTGATGAGGATGCTGGAGGTCCAGTGGGGAGGGATATTGTTGTTTACTCAACAGACAGAAGTGATGAAGCAAGGACTTCACAACGTTCTTTTATCTCAACGAATGGAGTAAATTTGGAGATTGTGCATGCCCTGATGGCTGCACCAAATTGTCCGTGGACAAAAGATAAGTCAGCTTTTAGTCATTCAAGGGGAGGAAAAGTGAGGAGGCAGAGTTTATCTTCACAAGAAAAGTCCAAACCGGTGACCAAAAAAAGTAGTATTAAAGGAGAAAATTCTGGAGGATCATCCCTGAAGAAAAAAAGAATTCCTGCTTCCAGTGGAAACCCAGGTGCACTGATCATCTGGGATGAAAAAAATAATGGTGCTTGCAATGAAGAAGTACCTGCAAATTCTCCTTCCACCCATAAACCACATGATTTTGATGTTAGCCTCCCTCCTTTTGGTCCCAAAAGCTCCAGCCACACTGATATCCGCAATAGAGTGAGAGAGACTCTTCGATTATTCCATTCTATTTGTAGAAAGCTCTTGCAAGGAGAAGAAGCAAAGTCAATACCAGAAGAGGAAAGGAAATCGAAGCAGCCTGAGAAATCCAAGAGGATTGATCTTCGTGCAGCACAGATTATAAAAGATAGAAAAATGGAAGTTAACACAGAGAAGCAAATTTTGGGAGAAGTGCCAGGAGTTGAAGTAGGCGATGAGTTTCAGTACAGAGTGGAGCTTGCCATTGTTGGCATTCACCGCCTCTACCAGGCAGGCATAGATTCCATGAAACTCAATGATGTACTAGTTGCAACTAGTATCGTTTCTTCTGGGGTTTATTTTGATGATACTGAAGATGCTGACGTCTTGATGTACTCTGGAGAAGGTGGAAACGTTGTTGGGAAGAATAAGCAGCCGGAAGATCAGAAGCTTTTGAAAGGAAATTTGGCATTATGGAATTGTATAGCAGCAAAAACTCCTGTTCGTGTTATCCGTGGATGGAAAACAAAACCTTCTGATTCTTTGGATTCAAGATCTAAGCTAGTCACCACCTATGTTTATGATGGCTTGTATACAGTGACAGAGTGTAGGGAGGAAACAGGGCCTCATGGTAAGATGGTTTTCTTGTTTGAGCTGAGGAGGAATCCTGGTCAACCTGAGCTTGCCTGGAAAGAATTGAAGAAATCTAATAAGCACACAGTCCGGCCGGGTATCTGTGTCAATGACATTTCAGAAGGAAAAGAACCATTATCTATATGCGCTGTGAATACTGTAGACAGTGAGAAACCTCCACCATTTAACTACGTTCCCAAGATGATGTATCCTGCTTGGCACCAATCTGTTGCCCCTGAAGGCTGTGATTGTTCAGGGAGATGCTCTGACTCTAGAAAATGCCGATGTGTGGTAAAAAATGGAGGTGAAATTCCATACAACCGCAACGGGGCTATTGTTGAAGCAAAAGCTCTTGTATATGAGTGTGGTCCTTCCTGCAAATGCCCTCCTTCTTGCTACAACAGAGTCAGCCAACGTGGTATTAAATTTCGGCTTGAGATATTTAAGACAGAATCAAGAGGCTGGGGTGTAAGATCCCTAAATTCTATTCCTTCAGGAAGCTTTATATGTGAGTATGCAGGGGAGCTTCTCGAAGATAAGGAAGCTGAACAAAAAATTGGCAACGTCTCCTCCATTCTTCATCTTTGGTTTGTTGTTTTCTACAGTTATCTCTTTCGATTTCGCATTTATGAATGCTTGCATCTATTATATAAATGTCTGAATATGCGTCCGTTTATTTGCCTTCTTTTGTTTGACCCTCTAGCACAATCTAATAAGAATAATTTTCACCTTTGAGCTTAGTTCTGCTTTTTTCTGTAGCTGTCCATAATTTTTCTTTACCATTGGCTTGATGAAATTTTGGTTATTGATTACAGATAACAGTGTCATGTCAAACTTCGGATTATCCAGTGATAATCGTAATAATCTGTCATCAAGAATTCGTTCTGTACCTGAGTTCAAGCCCAGGAAAGTCTCTGCAGTTCGGGCTTTCCCACCTGGGTGTGGCCTCAATGCTAAGCCAGTGGATTTGAAGTTGGACAGTGTTAAGCTGGGAACATCCTCTGGGCATAAGGATAAATTCCTTTGTAGAAGCGTTTGCTACGTGTGACTTTCCTCCATTATGCAGTCCAAATGCTCCTCAACCTACCCAAGAAGAACAACAGATGATTAATCGTGGAAAAGGTTTTGTGGATGACAGTACAAAGATTGAAGTGGAAACTGATGCAATTCAGACACTAAGGAAAAATCTGGAAAGAGGGGCATTGATGGACACGCAGATCATATCTCAAACTGAATCTGTGGATGGAGTTGAAAAGGTTGAAGTCAGAACAGAAGCAGTGGAAAGACTTGAAACAATTAGAGGAACAATCGGAGAAGATGTGATGAAGCTGCCTTTATCGTGGTGACACAAAGCTGTTGCCAAAAGAAGTAAAATTGAGAGAAATATTTCAGGGTGGGCATCCATGAAGAAGAAAGCAATTCCTGTTCCTAGTAGAAATCCGGGTGCATTGATCCTAAGGGATTGAACAAGTTACGGTGCCCATGATGAAAATCTACCCTCAAATTCTCGTTCCAGCAATGCACCACATGATTTTGATGTTACCATGCCTCCCAAACATTCCAGTCATGATGATGCCCATCATAGAGTGATAGAGACTCTTCGATTGTTTTCTTCTATTTGCAGAAAGCTCCCACAAAATGAGGAAAAGTCTGAGAATCAACCCAGGAGGATTGATCTTCATGCAGCGAAGATTATCAAAGAAGAAAAAAAGGAAGTTAACATAGGCAAGCAACTTTTGGGAGAAGTGCCTGGAATTGAAGTGGGGGATTGCTATTGTTGGCATTCACCGCCTTTACCAGACTGGTATAGATTCAATGAAGCACAACGGAATATCGGTTGCAAATAGTGTTGTCGATGCTGGTGTGTGTGCTGGTGATAAGCATAACGCTGATACGTTGTTATACTCTAGACATGGGGGAAACATCGTTGGGAAGAATAAGCAACCTGAAGATCAGAAGCTCGAGAGAGGAAATTTAGCTTTAAAGAATAGTATATCAACAGAGAGTCCCGTTCATGTTGTCCGAGGATTGAAAGAAACAAATTCTTGAGGTAAGCTAGTCACAACCTATGTTTATGATGGCTTATACACTGTGGACAGGTATTGGCAAGAAACTGGACCTCATCGGAAGCTGGTTTTCATGTTTGAGTTGAGTCGAATTCCCGATCAACCTATGCTTGGAAAGAAATCAAAGATACAAGGGGGTATAATTTATATTTTCGGGGTGTTCGTATAAGCTCTGTAGGAATATCTCATTCCTTTTCAAATGTAGAACTTAGGGCCTGTTTGATTGGTTCGAATTCCATTTTTCATGGAATTCGAATTCCACATTTTTCCAGTTTTGTGTGTTTTATTTGTTTTATTTTCCATGGAATTCTATTTTCTTGGTTGTATTGGAAATTAGTACTTTCTTGGTTTTCCAACCACTGATCACTTTTTTTTTCCGGGGGGGGGGGTTGCAATTAAAACAAATTTTAAGAATTATTGTAAAAAAAAATTTCATTTTCATGTAAAATAAAATCAAATGAACACCAAAAGATAGATGATTTTCCTTTTTCTTTTTCTTTTTCCCCCTTTTGGCAATGGAAATAAATTTTATCTCAAATACCAGTAAATTTGACCTCTTTAATTGACAATTTTCGTGTAAATCAAAACCAAAAGAACCACAAAAAAATATTTTTATTTCAACATTTTTCACGTAAAAAATTATATCAATCACATACAAAAATTAACAATTCCAAGGAAAAAAATTTTTAGGTAATTCAATTTTCTAAAATTCATTTTCTTTTCATTCAAATTTCATCTTTGCAATCAAACGGACCCTTATTATAAAAAGGAGATTGAGAAATAGTAATATACTTGGTGATTATGGGATGTCTTGGTGGAGTGCCTTCCTTCGCTGCTGTGCAGGTTTGCCTGGTGGGTGTGAAGCATACAAGTCCTTTCATGGCCAGTTAGCCTCACTTTGGTGTGTCAGGTTAAGATTGACGTACCAAATATTTCATGTGGTATGACGACTTATTTCACGGTTGTATAGGCCAATTCAATTTCGGCATGTCCAGTGTGGTGTTAAAAAATTATTTGGCTCGTTTCTAAGTGGCTTTATCGAGATCTGAAGCAAATCGTGCAAAGACTTCTAATTCTGACACGACTTCTTTTGTGGGCCCTACGCAGATATAATTTCATCTATTAAACTTTTTAATACAACCACCAGAGTTTTAAAAATTAAATTTCACTGTATTATCTTCTGGATTTCTCTCTATTATCTGAAATTTGAACTGTAATTGAATTCAATATAGGGAGAGTTTTATCCAACAACGCATGCCAAAATGTCTAGGACAAGTGTGTTCAGCTACATTGCTTTTTTGTTGTTCTTCGAATTTATTTCCTTTTCAGCATCAATGATTCCATCTAGCTCTTCTCTTCTATTTCATTAATTAATTGATTTATTTTTCCTATTTGGGATAGAAGGAAAATTAAATGAATATTTGATGTTTGGAGAGTAGGCAACGGAATTCACTGAAAACAGTGTCCTTGATATAGAAGCTTTCTCACGTCTTTTTCAATTTTAATAGGGATAGTAACGGGACAGCATGCGAGTCTCCATCTTTGTCTAGTCGGAATTTTCAAGAGGTGGGGTGCAAGATTAAAATATTCTCATTTACCGTTCTTTTAATTAATTATTTATTTATTTTTAAATAGGTTTTGAACTGAAAAAATTTTTAAAAAAAATATCCGAGATGGATAGGGAAATTCGGTGCTCGGCCACATTCAACGATTTCCATCCCGAAAAATGCTACGTTAATAGAAGAATTCTAACAGATTGTTTGATAGAAGAGTGTGTATCATTTTGTGATTGGATGAAAAGTATGGCTGTGTTTTAAACAATCTAATAATAGAACGTCACGTGGTATTATGTCAATCATTGTGTTAACCGTTATCAATATTGAATCCAAAGATAATCAAATCATGTCATAATATTTTTGTATTAATGTGATCACAAAATTCTCCCAATTATAACAATTTCCCTGGATATCCAAAAATGACCCAAAAAAATTTACATTGAAACCCCAAAAATATCAATAATATACCAGAACATAACTAAAGGAAATCCCAATAGTAAAATTCACTTTTGAACTCGAGAATCAAATTATTTATTATGAGCATTAAGAGTTAATAACGAGAATAACTTAAATTTTTCAAATATCGATGGACACGTTCGTCATCTCAATACCAACGATAGATGTAAACAAGAGGCTTATGATTCTTCCAAAAAAAATATGTTCTCATTAGGAGACCCCATTTTTTGGGCGGCATCATATTCCTCAAACTTGTTTTTGCTTGACAGTATTTTTCAATTTAATGTTTTCATCAAACTTTAATTTGAATAAAGGAACCGCCCAAACTATCAGAGATAACACCTGTACAATAAACAGGCCAGACCATATTGAGCCAGCCCAACCCATCTTGCCCCACTAACCTCACACTCCTAGCCCTGTTTGGTGTGGATTAAAATTAAATTTAAGCAGATTTTAATAAAAGTTATTGAAATGTACTATTGAAAAGTTGCGGATAACATAAAAATTATTTTAACAAATGAAATGTTTCTTGTACATTAATATTTACATATTCTTTTACAAATTGATGAGGTGATGATAAATTGAATTAAGCTTCTGTTGGATGGTCATTATTGAGAAAAATGATATTTTGAATATTGATTTTTTAAAGAATATGTAGTTAAAAAAATGAGATTGTGTGTGAAATATTTTATTATGTGAATGTAGGATTGAAAATTTTTTAAAAAAATATTTTTAGAGGAAGATAATGTTGAATATTTTTTAATAAATACTAATGTACATGTAGTATAACGATAGCAATTCGAACCGTCAAAATCGAAAATCACAGTTAATCGAACCGAATGGGGTGAAAAAATCAAATCGATAGTGCACTGTGACGGATACGGTATTTGATTTTAGTGACCCGGTTTGAGGTGGGGCAAGTATGGTATTTGCACCGTTGCCCTACCCCGAACCAATTATCCGTATAAAAAAAGGGGCAATTAGATTTTTCATTATTCTTTCTATTATAATTTATTTAGCCCAAAATATATGACCCATTACTGACTCATTAAGTAATTTAACCCTGTTACCACTTACCCACTTAGTATTTACCCTATTACAAAGAAATTTTGAATCAAATTCAATAAGACAGTAGCCAACAGCTGTCTTCACTCGAGCCCCTACAATGCATTCCCAAAATTTTTTTCTTCTCCATATCGTATTCTTTTTTGCTCACCATCCCTAAATAGGAGGGTATTTTTCTTCATTTTCTCATTTGTTTATTGTTGTTGCTGTAATCTATATATTTTTTAGTTTTTGTTGTGTTTGAGTATTTAGTAAAATGTGATTTTTTCTTCTCCACATAAAAGATGAATTTAATGAACTTAGTCTGCCTAGAGATATTAAGTTTTATTGTTGGAAGAACACGGTAATATTAAAAATGAAGATTGAATATGAATTGAAGTTGGAGCTTTTAAGTTACTAAGTAGGAATCAAGTTCAATGTACAAGGATCAAGAGACAATGATATTGTTTAGTATTTTATTATGTTGATAATATTGTTTGCTAAATTCGGATTTTGCATTTGAGAATTGAGATATTGTTAGCATTTTCATTTATGTTATTGTTTGCTATATTGGCTTAGCATTCTGTTTTTGTTTTCACTGATTTTTTTCATATATATATATTTTTAATTTTAACGGATGAACCTATAAAAAATAATTTATTTTCGTGCTTATTAACTCTCCAAATCAAGCTGAACTGAAATACAAATCAAACTAAAACGACTTACGTGATTATGGTACGATTATGATATGACAAAAAAATTGATGGTTTGATGATGATTTTGGTCGAATCCACCTCGACCTCGAACCAAATCGAATCAACCGTACCGTTGTCTTTCCTAGCCCTTGTTTGAGCCCCATTTTTTGGGATAGAATGAATTTTTGAATAGTATATTAATGGAAAATGTATGATTAAAAAATAAGAAAAAATTTTGAATTTACATGTAATATTATTTTATTAAAGAATACATGATTGAAATGATCTCAAAAAACTATTAAAAAATGTATTTTTTTAAAAAGAATGGAACTAAGGACCTAATGTAGTAGCGCGTTTTAGCCCCTGTTTGATTCCCATTACGTAGGAAAATT